CACTGTTAATCCACGCGTGAGTCTGCGTTCTCACAGAGAGAAAATGAAAACAAAACTTAACTGCAGCAAACTATAAAAGCAACACTTTATGCTTGTTTTGCCAACACAACGTGGCGTCTCTGTCGTCTAAACACTCTGACAGTAATGAATATTAATGAAGTTGCACAATAGAGCGCGCTGATTGGTTTGAACGAAGCCTTACTCATGCATTAATGCATCACACTGTAAAACGTAATAAGACACACTCTGGCACAGACGCCCAGTCTGCACGCTGGAATACACGCTATTATGTCATGACCGTGACGCAGCTTCAAAAATTTGTTTCAAACCGGAAGTACGAATTTGCTTGAAATAACGCAAAAACAACCAATTTACACTTTTTAGTGAAATATAGGTGTCCTAATAGTGTTTTTAGCAGTGTGGGACACATATACCACTGTCAACAGCTCAACACATGTGTTTTGGTGTTTCGTGACCCTTTAACATTTGCAATAGAAAAGAGGAGTTTAGTTTGAGTATACATTTATATTTATAATTCTGGTTGCTTTTTGAACGTCCTTTAAGGGTTCTATCTGTCCATTTATATTTGTGTATGTAATTACCTAATTAAATGAAAAGGTTTTAAATAAAAGTATTTCTTATTTTGAATAGTCTATTTATATAGACTAATATTTTATATAACATATGTTCATAATTTAACATATTTAATCCCTCTATTAATCACATTATTTCTATTTCATAAGCTTTGCAATAACCAGATTCGTGATAAATGTTTGTGTATTTTTTTATTTTATTTTTTTGTATGTTTGCGCGAGATGTTGTAGGTGTGTCTGCATGCAGTGAGTTTGTGTATGTGCGCGTGTTGTTGAGGGTGTATATGCATAGACTGAGTTTATATGTATATGCGAGTATGTATAGGTGTGTTTGCATGCTGCGAGTTTATATGTATGTGCATGTAAATGTGGGTATTTATGCGAGAATCGAGTTTATATGTATATGCGAGTGTGTATAGGTGTGTTTGCATGCAGCAAGTTTATATTTATGTGCGTGTGTTAATGTGAGTGTTTATGTTAGGATCGAGTTTATATGTATGCGCGTGTGTATGTGGGTGTATTCATGCATCAAGTTTATATGTATATACACAAGTTTCATCCATGTTGTTTTGAACATTCAGTATAGGTGTATATGCGAGTAATTAATAGGTGTATATACACGTGTATTATGTATGTGTTGATAAGCAAAGTTTGATTTAAATCCTATACGGCACCTCATAGAATTAAGCACCCCTGGTATATAGCATACTTTGAAAGCAACTGCCAACATTTATCACAATCACATATCCAATAAACACACACACACACACACACACACACACACACACACACACACACAAAGTGCTGCAGTGAAATGTGTTACTCTCTCCTCAATGCTGACTATGCAAAAAAAAAAAAAAACTGAACAGCAAAAAACACAAAATAATTCTTTTAAATTTTAAAGTTTTAAATAATTAAAAGCTCTGTCAAATCTCAAAAAGTTTAAAATAATTATAGAAAACAAAAATTAAAGTTGGCAACTCCGAAAAACCAAAGAATCCAATCTTTTATTGTTATAATTATCTCATGACAACAAACTTTTTTATTATTTCTAATATAAATTCATAGGTGGAAACACTGCTCTGAAAAATACTTAGCAACAAACTCACAACCTGGGACCGGACAGTGGAGCTTTTGTATGTGGATGGCTATGTGTATCATATTTTTGTGATTCCCTGTGATGATGTGCACATGTTACCTTATAGAGATGAAGGAATTTAATTTTGGCTTAGTTGCCAGAAAGATACATACAACTGTTAGCATCTGTACATTATGGCAGTATGCAATATCCAATAAATACTTAAACAAAAGTAATGTAAGAAGTTATATGAGGAGAGGCTAACTAGCTAACAATGTAGCTTTCAAGTACACAGTTCAAGATAACAAAAATATAACTTAAAACACAGCCTTATTTTATAAACCCTCAAAAAAATTTGAACACATTTTACTTACTCATTTTAGATTCTTATTTAAGGCCTAAAACATATCAGACTCTACATCTGAATTGATAGACAGAGAATAGAGCACACTCAGCAGTAAACAAATCAAACACCTGGCTCTCTTAAAGGGCCAGTATTTTCTGAAAACTCTTTCTAACACCTTTGTGTTTAGAATAAGACGGACAGCCTGTGGGAGTGTGTGGTGATGCCTAAATCATTGTTTTTTACAGTTATTTACTGCACAATCTACAGAGTAACAGTGCAGTTATACTAACTAAACACACCTGATCAAACTAAATCTAAAGGTAGTGTGTTGAAGCAGGGCTAGAACTAAATTCTACTAGGCTGTGGCCTTCAGGAGTTTGACACCCCTGGTACATAGCATATTTTCAAAGCAACTGCCTACATTTATCACAGTTATGCACATATCGTTTAATAAAACAATAAAAATATACTATAATATA